TTGCGACCCTACGTTTATATAAAAAACTTGTGTTATTTTGGCAAGTACTACGACCTAGAAAAGTTTCCCGATTAAAAACTGAACCACCCTGTATTTATAAGATTAACGAATTCTTCCTGATGATGAGGACTCGTATCCTCGAAACATGTAGAGAATGATTGTGTCACACAATCCTCCATTACCAAGATAAGCACGCTACAACAACAAGAAAACATCAAGAATTGCAGAAGTAATCAGAAACCATCAGTAATTACAAAAAGCAGAAATAAAACATGGTGAAATTTATATTTATAAGATTAACGAATTCTTCCTGATGATGAGGACTCGTATCCTCGAAATATGTAGAGAATGAAATAAACATATAACATCGATGAAGTACAAAATAATTCAACCTTCACATACAATAAAAATATTTGTGTTAATTTTAATTAATTTAGAACGAAATATTTATGAAATGCCACCCAGATTTTTTACGAATGTTAATCAGTTTGTTAAAAGTAACAACATTGTTTGATGGAAATTATGTTTGTCATCAAGGAGATGTTAACGATACAATGTATTTTTTGCACCAAGGAATAGTTTTGGTGTATAAAGTTAATGAAACCGAAGAAATTTTAGTTGATGAGCTTCAAGAATTGGATTCTTTCGGAATTGTACGTTTAAACTATTTCAAATACTCATTATTTTTGTATTTATTGTTGTTACAGCTACAAGGAATTGTTCCTAGAACACCTCATACTCATACATTTATTGCTAAAAATGTTACTGTAATTTTGAGTCTAAAGTTTGATGACTGGCACTATTTATTAACATTTTTTCCAGCATCGAAATTTTTAATATTTGATAAAGTACAACAATTATGGAGTAATGTTTGAATTATAGCAACTCTTTGAAATTCAATAAAACATATATGAATATATGGTAATGACGATTCGAGTAATAATGCGATTTATTAAATTTAAAAACAAAAAGGTAATATAATTCTTTGAAACCCAATAATCCTTAACACAATAAGAGAATTATTAAATCCGGTCGAGGTGCATTCATTTCAAAAATAAAATAGTATTTTACTGAAGCCTCCTCGCGGATTAATTAGTGGAAAATGTCGAATTTAATTAAAATTTCGATGTTAAATATATAATTTTGGTGTACAATCAGAAAATTTTCAACACGTAACATATCTTTTGATGCTATGCTTTGGTAATTCAACCAAGTAAATCGATTGGTATAGCTTACTTTAGAGTAGTCAAGTTAATTCAGTAGGATCCGAGGATCGAACAAGCTGTCCCAGAATGCAATTTCCACAGGCGTGCGAAAGATTTGCAAACGCCATTACTTTTAACGTTCCGATTACCGGAACCAAAGATTAAGTAAACTATTCGAATTCGCGCAAACTTCCTTCCCCTTAGATAGCGGGATGAGAATTTTCAATCCGGTGGAACCGCGACGCGATACGAAAGTAAAAATAGGACCACCGTCGTCGTCCCCGTGGATCCTTCGTCCATTTACTTTGGTCCTCCCGTCTTGGAAAACTTTCCTGGATCTCCCACATGTTTCCGGAGACGGCATACGCAGCAGTGCTCGGGAACTTTGCAAAACTGGGATATTTTATTCTCGCGTGCTCGCGATAGTAGAACTATCCTCGACTCGTTTGCACGCCTTAAGCTCGAGCTTGCTGCCAAAGCTCCCGGTACAAGCGAGCTTTGGCTGACGGCATCTCACAGGACCAACATTATCGACGCACGTGCTGTCCTTTCACCAACGTTATTTTACGTTTTTTAGTAGCAAAATAACTTTTCTTTTAACTTTTTTATATTAACAGGAAAATGAAATAAAATTTTATCGGATATTTTATGTTTTTATGAAAATAAAACTTCTTTTTACATAAAAATCGAATAAAACCTATACATTTTTACAAAACATTATTATTACATTTTTTCTAAATAAATCGGAGTCATGTCAACATTGTCCGATCAATACAACGTAAATTACATTTAGTCGTTTGTGGATGGATGTTCAAATAACTCGTATCTGCGAACTTATAAAATACACATCATAAAAAGCGTATTTAATAAAATCTGTCATAATATTCACGGTTTAATAACCTAGAACAAGGAAAACCACAAATATAAATATAAATGTCCACTCTATTTTGATAACAAAGCTTTTTTTTATATTATCAAATAAAAATATTCATCGTTTTTGTTGTGAGTTGCTCCTTTCTTCTAAAACTGTCTAAATTGTTGATGATGATAACGTTGTTATAATTAAAGAGAAAAAACATTACATATTTTTAAGACATATCACATTACATAAATAGTTACACAAATATTTGAACATAAAATATTAAAAGAGCAACTTTTAACTTGTGTGAGTTTACGTTCGTTTTCCTCACTTTAATTCAATCATAACTTTACACCCCCTTTTGTTTTTACATAACCAATTTCCTGCCCTATTCATACGTTCCTAAATTTCATCCGAGCTCCCCTTTCTGGCTATTATGGCCATCGAGGATATTCGATGTGAACGTTGTTAGAACCCCCTCCACATTTCGCCTATATAACGCCGCCGTTTCCGTTTCCGTTCAAAGTCGAATGTACCCTATAAAGAACGTAAATTAATTGGACGTGAAGTGGAGGGAAAGATTGCGTTTCCCCGAGTGGAAAGGAAACTCTCGCTCGATTCCCAGTGTGTATGGTAAAATTTCATGTATGGTTTTCGTCTTTACTTAAAGTTATGGAGTCACCCGAGTTATAAAAGTCGTCAAACCGAAAATACTGTATTGGGTATAAAATGTGTAAAGTTCACAAACGTGTCTATTTGTAATAAAATATGAATTGATATTTTAGTATGTTGGAATCATTGAGGTCTTATATATAATCTAGAGTGCGTATGCTGTTGTCCCCACCACGCCTAAAATGAAGCCAGAAAGGTCGCCATGTTAGATGTACCAACTTAGCGGGAAATTCGAAATTCTTATACAGGTGTCCTGCAACGATTGTACAAAACTGCATCAGCGTATTCTATGATCAAAAATAAACAAAAAAAGCCTAATAAACATAGGTCCGAAAATGGACCATTTTCGAGATATTCAAAGATTTAGTTTCATAAGTTGATATTGCTAACATCATGAATTTAAATTTGTTTTTATAATAATTAAGTCGTTACTATGATTACGATAAGTTGTCTAATCAAAAAAAAATAATACTTCACGAAATTATTATTTTACTATTTAATTTAATAAAACTATTAAGTATGGCTCCTATTAATGGAAGAGATGGCGGATTTGGTGTATTGTTACGGACTAGCTGATGGAAATGCGTCGTTAGCAGCTCGTCATTACGCGCAAAGGTTCCCGAACAGACGATTGCCTAATAGTCACACCTTTAGCAGACTATTTCTCAGATTAAAAGAAACGGGAAGCGTAACCCAAAGCCATTCCACGGACAGACATTACACAAGGCCGGTGGAATTAGAAGAAGCAGTTTTGAGAAGAGTCGATGAAAATGCCTCAACCAGCATTAGAAGAATTTCTGCACAAGAAAACATTAACAAAACAACCGTTCACCGCATTTTAAGGGAGCAGTTGCTTTATCCTTATCATTACAACACCGTTCAAGCTCTAACAGAAAATGATGGCGAAAAAAGAGAGATTTTTTGTAGGTGGGCCATACAGGAAGAGGTAGTAAACGTCGACTTTCCCATAAACATTGTATTTACGGATGAAGCAACATTTACTCAAAGCGGAATTTTTAATATTCATAATGCGCACGTTTGGAGCGATGAAAATCCCCATGCAATACTAGAAACTCATCATCAGTGGCGATTCAGTGTTAATGTATGGGCTGGAGTTATAGGTGATCAGTTATTAGGTCCATTTTTTCTTCCAAAGAGATTGACAGCCGATGCCTACATACATTTTTTACAAAATGACCTTACAGAGGCATTTGATGAATTACCTCAACAAATTCTAGAAGATTGCTACTTTATGCACGATGGAGCACCAGCACATTATGCACGCGCTACTCGAGCATACTTAAATAACAGATTTGGCAATAAGTGGATTGGCCGAGGAGGTCCTGTCCCGTGGCCACCTCGTTCACCAGATTTAAATCCGTTAGATTTTTGGTTTTGGGGACATTTAAAACAAATTGTTTATTCTGAAGACGTTCAAAATGTGCAGGATTTGAAGAATAAAATTAGTAACGCATTTGACACAGTAAAACAAATTCCTGGTATCTTTGAACGCATTAGAAGTTCATTTAGAAAACGTATCCGTTTGTGTTTAGAAGTAAATGGTGCGCATATTGAACATTTATTATGACATGAATCTTTTCCAATTTGTTAAATATTCGTTGTTTTTATGCTGGTTGAACGATTTTCTTCGACAATCTTTGTTACTTGTTTTGTTAAATTATTAATGAACTGTATTAATTAACTTAATATTATCTTATTATTTATTAAACTTTATCTTAACCATCGTAACCATGGTAATCATATAATTACTGCATCTAAATCGTTAGAATTAATGATGTTTACAATAGGTCAGCTTATGAAACTAAAACTTTGAATATCTCGAAATTGGTCCATTTTCGGACCTATGTTTATTAGACGTTTCTTGTCTGTTTTCGATCAGAGAATACGCTGATGCAGTATTGTACAATCGTTGCGGGACATCCTGTATATACTTATACAAGAATTTACGTTATTATAAACTGGAGGAACAGAAAATAATAACTTAATTTTTTATTGATAAATAATTATTAATTATATGATATTTTAAAAGAACTTAATAATTTTTAGCCATAACCCTTATAATTAACATAAACTAAGAAGAAAATATTTAAAGCAATTCTGATTGATCACGTTAACCTTTGCTTATAAATAATTGTTAGTTTATTAAAAAAAAAACTGAACAGTCCTTAATAATAAACTTTACTTGAACGTCAATTGAAAACCTCGGTGTAAGAAGGGAGTAGCTCCATTTATCAAGACAAGGAGTTGTCCCCTTTTTACACCGAGGTCTTTAATTGTTAATTCCAAGTCAAGTAACCAGAAACATTTTATGGACTGTTGTAAATAATCGTCCAACCTACCAAATTATAAAAAACATGTGTGAAACGAAAAGAATTCGAAAACTTTCAACAAAAATCAAATTTTAATAAAAATAACAATATGTTTATGAGAATTGTGAGGTTATTATTATTATTCTTCTACTGGTGGCGTTTTGGAGTTCGAACTTCCGTTCATATCAATCTCCAGTTACAAGGTTTCCATTAGCTTCACTTCCCATTACACAATATCTTCCTTCTTCAGCTCCATCGAACTGTCCCGTGGTTTAGACAATTTATGAATATATGAAACACACACAATAACAAATGGTTACATATACAGGACAACAGTTTAAAACAGGTTGATGAAAGGATGATTCTTCTGTGGGCCAGGGGTCCGGTGACCCGACTTTTCCAGGACCCTTGGACCAGATCTGGAAAGGGATTATAAGTATGAGAGTTGCTTAAGGTCTAGGTTCTAGGTCTAATATCACAGTCAGTTTTATATTTCTAAGTATCTAATTATCCTATTTATTGCTTTCTTGCATCTGTGCAGTCTTTCTCAATATTGCATTTTTCCTGCTTTGGGTATTATTATCACAGTCTTATTCCTGAGGAAATAACGTATTTGTACAATAATATATATATTTCGAATGAACCAGTTGCCAATAGAGAGGCTAGGTCAACTGGTAGGCTGACTCATTTTTCCAGTAGTCCCAACATCAGCTTTTGTCGATGTGCATCTAATGTGTGGCATGTAAAGAATATGTGATTTAAGTCGCCTTCTTCTCCGTATTCACAATTTGGATTGTCTTTTACTTTAATTTTGTATAGATAAGAGGGGGTAAGTGTGTGACCCAGTCTCAGCCTGACAATAAGC